TAACGGGAGGCAATTCCTCTATTACTCACACAACTTTTCATCCCGAATAGGAAGGATGGTCAGAGACTGAAGGACCAAAACAGAACCTCACAAAATCCCAATAAATGCACTCGCTCCTGACCCACTTAGTGCTCTGGACCCTCTCTGGGCTAATTTACAGGTATCCTAGGACATTGTAAAGAGGGATCCAAATGTGGCAAATCAGACCAGAAGCCTGGATGAACCCAAAATGATTTCCCTCTCCTTCAAGTGAACAACAGCATAGTCTTCAAACTCTTTTGAAGGCAATAAAATATGAGTAGAAAAAGTTAATTTCCACATTAAAATATTCTATACACTTGGGTTAAAACAAGTTATTCCCTGTGAGTAAACTCGTGCTGAGTTCCAAATTTCCAACTGGCAACAAATGTTTTAGTCCTTGGTAAGTTGGGGATATTCTAGAAATTTCTCCTGTCTCCTTTCTCATCATTTATTATTGTTTTCTCATTTCTAGGACTATTTCTATGTGGACAAAATTTTTCTGCTCCTTTTATTGAACTGGTCATGATCCAAAAGTAGGCCTGGCCCAGTATACAGTTGAAAAACATTATAGCATCCTGAGAAAAATTTAAATGAAGGACAATTATAACTTTTCCCCTATATAGCCTCTTGCTTGCACTGGCTTTTCTGGCGTGATCGGTCTAGATGAATGAGGGTCTGATTAGGATTAGAACACTGGTCAAAACTGGTCACAGAAAATCTGCAGTTCTTTTGTTTGCTATAATTTGATGAAAATATTAAATGGCATCGTTTCAATCTTCTGGTAAAATCCTTAGATATGTGGGGCACCTTTTTCTAAGTAACTTCTTTCCATATGGATATTGCAAAGTTCTTCCTTTATTACATCTGTGGCAAAGAAAGGCTAATTAAACATAAAAGGACACATAGAAGAAGTGGTGGGGGAAACTATACAGAAAAGACAATCATTGTGAGAAAGTCCAAGGGGGTTATTTTTAAGCCCCTTAAAATACATTTTTCATGTAAAAGGGAGGTTTGATTTCTTGGCACATTTGAACTAAGATGGGCTCTTGAATCAAATAGAGTCTCATCTCAGTGTGGCATTTACTATCTGTCATTGCAAAGAGGGTGCTGATAATCTCTATTTTGCAGGGCTGAGAATTTGAATGAGAATAAAGGATAATCACCTAGCCTAATTCCTCCTCGTGGAGGGCATTCAGCTAGTATTTATTCAATCTCTTTTCAAAGCCAATGGATACTAACCCACAACCAACCAGAGGAAACTGGGAAGAAACAGAGCGGGTAGAAAACAAAAAGTGGATATTAGGTTGAATTTTCCAGCTTATCTGAGTGACATGTCAAATCATTAAACATCCATTGAGTGCCTGTTAAATTTCTACAAGGATTTTAGATCCAAAAGACACATCAGAAATAAGTGAACAGATCCCTCCTCCCTCGAAGCGTTCAATCAAGTTAAAGAGACAGAACTTAAACTCAGGATCCATAATTACACAACAATTATAAAGAAACGGTCAATGCACACGAAACAGTATGGACCAAAGGCCTGAGTGTGGGAAGAGTCTGCACGTGCCAGGAAATCCAGGGGATCAGGTGACGTCCAGACCTATCCTCAGACTGAGGTCTATGCCAGAGGCAAGCAGGCCACTTCCGGGTAGAATCTGGAACCCCGTAGAGGAGGTGTCACTGTGCAGTCACAAGGTGAGGAGTTCTGTTGACTGGAGACTAATTCTGTCCCTAGTCAGTCACAGTGGCAGGAAGAGCATGGCAGCATGAACAATGCTGGTGAGTCCCTGAGGGGAAGGCCTCCGAGGCTTCGAGCCCCCAGATGAGGCAGACCACTCCCCTGCCCAGCCGTTAACAGGAATGAGTCACTCAGGGACACCACACGCAGACTTTGTGTTACTCAAGCCCTTTGTTTTTCTTCTCTCGTGTCCCCTTTGCCCACCTTATGCCACCAGATCTTTGAGAATCAAATCGGGTCCCATTCATAAGACAACTAAGGCAGCTAGGAGGGATCACTAAGAGGGAAGAATTAAATTGCACGCACCTCCTCCAGGGAGAAGGCTAGCATGAGGGGTGGGGTTATCCAGCAGTTTCTTTGTTAACCAGATCGGTATCAGGATTGTGTGGAATGAGTGCTGAAAGCCTTCTCGGGTTCTTAGGAAGTTTGAAAGCAGAACAGGAGAAAATGGAAACCCAGGAATGAGGAAACAGTTGGATGGGGAAGGGGCAGATATGAGAGCCTTGTTCCTAGACCCCACGAAGACTGTGCTGTTAATGCAAGCACTGCCACAGTCAAGCTCTGGTCACCAACAGTGTGTGCAGCTACAGGAAACAACGGGTGGAGAAATTTTCTTCCAAACTTTGCTTCCTGCATTCAGATCGCCTTAATAATCTTAGTCAACAAATCCATGCTAGGCTTTATGAAGGACAGAAAAATAAAAGCCCAAAAGATTGAAGATCTTCTCTTGAAAGAACAATTCATTCAACATACAGAAAACTTAGATGCTATGCAAACACTCTTAGTGTCTAGAAGAAGAAAGACGAAAAGACAATGTCCCTCCTCTCATGGAGCTCAGTCTGATGAGGAAGACAGATGCATCAATGAGTGAAAACAATGATGTGTTAATTGTCGTGATGGAAGTTGTACGTGACCATGTGGGGCAGGGATGGGGGACGTAGCGATCAATGTTACTCTTGTGGTGGATTCTACCATTCTTAGCTCACCAAGAAGATTATATGTAACCAGTTCTTGCCAGATGACTAATTTGCAAAGCGGGCCGGGGTTGAAAGGACATTTCAGGTGATTGGAAATGTGGGACAAAGATGCAGTGGTTGGATGTGAGAGTTCATAGCATGTGCAGGAAAGAGCAAAGTCTTGTCCACAGGAGGCAACGTGGTGTGGAGTGGCGGCAGGTGAGGCTGGGAGGGAACCCAAAAGCCAGATTGGGTGAAGCCTCAGATACTGTACTAAGGAATTTAGACTTTATTTTGTGGGACATTGAAGAGTCTTTGAAGGGTTTTAACAAAAATATGGTGGCAGTGACTAAATTAGGGAGAACATTTTAAGAAACTGATGCAGTAGTCTAGACAAGAAATGATAGGGGCCTGACATAAGAGTGGCTTTATGGATGGAGAGGCGAGGACAGACATGTAGGAGAAATCACGTACCCCTCCATCGCACAAAGGAGTATTGAGAAAGAGAGGGAAACAGAGAGTAAGAGGACTCAAAGGTGAATTTCAGGTTTCTGATTTAGACAGTTGCATGGTGGTTTCAGTAACTCAGACAAGGAATATAGGAAAAGGAGCAGGTTGGGAAGAAAAATGAGCAGATCAGCTTTGAAAACGTTGAAAGTGCCTGGTGGGTGTCCATGTAGAGATGTCCCATAGCTCACTGGATATTTAAAACTGGAGCCAAAGAAAGAAGTCTGGACTGAAAACATAGATTTTGAAATTATCCATGTGGAAGAGATTCAATAAATCAGGGAATTCTCATAAAAAGATGAGCAGAGGGCTGAGGAGGGAGACAGAAAAAACATATAAAAATTACAACACTAGATAGCAAAAAAAAAAAGACATCTATAAAACGGAGGGCAAGAACTGGTATCAGCTCTGTTACAATAGTGTTTGATGGCCTGGGTTTCCACTTCTATTGTTTCTATTATAAGAAGACAATAACCACCGAAGTGTCATTAGGGGAAGCAAGGAGGGGATTGCTCAGTTTTCTTACGTTTTTGTGACTTTCCTCTGGTGGAGGGGCACGTACTGTTCTCACCAGATGTTTAACTAGACTGAGAAATACGACCCGTGTATAATATTTGTCTCTCTCATTTTATAAGTCTTTCATTATAAACTTTAGGTATGATGGAAAAATGCTGGGCCACTGATAGAGCAATTAACTTCTTCGCAAGTTAACCACTGTACCCTGAAGAGCATGGACAGTGACTTAGACAAGTCACCTGGCCCACCTGTGGTCTCTGTGCTTGGCTTTGAGAGTCCATTTATCTCCTTGCATTAACTCGGGCAGCACAATGATCAAGCTTGAGAGAAATAAATGTGTTGCCCCACCAACATATTCAAAAAAGCTCCTTGGGGGCTTCAATGTTGGGTCCAAACCAACAGGTTGAAATTTAACTGGAATAAATGTAAATTCCTGCTTTGGTTGCTGAAAAGTGACTGTTTAAATAAAGGATGGTGGCATTAATAGTGTAATGTGCACGTGCCCAGAGCCAAGCCCACTTCCGGTCACACTGATGTCACGTAGAACGTGGGATGCAGTTCGTTGCCTTATGCTCTTCCCTGGGAAGCACGTGGGATGCTTGAGTCGTGGGTGCCACTCCTGCCACCGAGACAGGAACCAGATGGAAAGGGGGCCATGCAAGGAGGAATCGCTGAAGAACTGCTCAGTGGCCCGCCAGCGTGGGGGGAGGTGAGCAGAAGGCTGTGCTGTCTTTACACGTGTGGGAGCACTGTCCCTTAAAAGAGGATGTAGGTGACTTCTGTCAAGCTTCAGAGGGCAGAATTTCAGCGAATGGAGAGAAGATAGAGGAAGGCAGGTCACAGTAGGAAAGAACTTCATTTCATCTCTTCATTGACGGAATGGGCGGCTCTGGGAGGTGGCGAGCTCCCACAGCTGGGAGTGTGTCAGTGATGTTGAAGAGGGGCCTGGAGAGGGGGAGAGATTGAGTTAGATGACCCTAAGAGCCACCACCATGCTGAGGTTTGCCCATGTGAGATCATTCATTTAGTTACTTCATTTTCTCACCCTAAAAGCAATCTTGCTTCATAAGAGTTCATTTTTCTCTCCCTATGTAGAGATCATTGGTTCTACAAATCTTATTATTCTGCTAGAGGATGAAATCTTTGCTGATTTTTTCAACACGTTTCTTTCTCTCCCGGTAAGCATTCTCAGAATTAAATCCAAATGTTTCCTCGACAGCTGAATAGTGAGCCTTACCGAGCTGAGTGCCTGTTTTTTTTTTTTTAATTACACTTCTTACCAAATCAAAACAATTTCAATTTGAGCAAATAAATATGAATTAGAATGTCCTCTCAAATCTCCAGGAGTTCCCATGATCGATACAGTCAAACCCCAAGCCCCAGCCCCCCTGACCGCCTTTGCCTGTCCACAGTTGTTCCCCGTCAGGCCCTTCGCTGGTGCCCAGGGCTCCAGGGGCGGCGGCTCCAGCCTCCCAGAGGACACCTGGCGTTCTCCCACCTGTGCCCCGTCCTCGGCTATGTTCTTAGTTTTCCATAGTTTCCCCTACCAAAGTCTTAACCACTTTTCAGATCTCTGCTTAAGCCCTGCCCTCCTTAAGGACTTCCTAGGTCCTCCCAGTCAGAACTAATTTCTCCCTGCCACTGGCCCCCTTGCGCTTTGTGGCTCTCTTGTGTTGTATGTGAGTCTCTCCCCCTGCCTGGACCGTGAGGCTGCGAATTCCTGCAGGACCAGGACTGTGAGTTATTCGTTCTGCTCTAGTCCCATCACCAGGTGTTTGGCACATAGCAACTGCTGAGTTGTTAACTGGAACCAAATCCGTATATTTTCTCAACCTATGCAATTAAAACAAACCTCAAACATCAAGGTATTCTTGAACCCAAACCGACACTAATCCTGCATCATTTCTGGCTTAAATCTTTGGTTGCATCTGAATGCTGGTGCCTTATAAATTCCTGTTTCCATGGAATGCTACCTGCTGAAAGATGAAATTTCATACAGTTGGGGAAAAATACTCTTATTATCTCACGAACACCTGTCGGGTGGTCAGCTTGTGCAAGCCGCTGGGCTTAGCACCGGGGACAGAGACATAAATGACACCACGTGTGTCTTCAAGGAATTCCCAGTCTAATGTGAGACACCAGTCCCTAAGGTGAGTGCAAAAAGGGCTGTGGGTGACATGACTGACGTCTCTAGGCGGGAGTGGGGTACAAGTGCATCAGAGGGAGAGGCCATTTCTGCCAGGAAGGTCAGAAAGGATTCAGTGAAGAGGTGACACAAACCAAGCCTTGAAAGAAGAGCCAGTGTTTGACAGTTGTCTGGGCACGAGGATGGGCAGGAAGGGTGGAGAGAGAGGCAGGAGGGAAAGGCTGGGGAGCTGAGTATCGAGAGGAGCAGAGGCCTTAGAGAGAGAACAGAGTGAGTAAAGGCAGCAGGGAATACAGTCCCCTGGCACTTTGGGGGAAACTTTAAGCAGCTCAATAAGACTGAAGAAAAAGTCGTGAGAGGCAGACACAGCGAGAGACAAGGTCACACAGCTTCTCCATCCCTGACAGCAGGTGGGCCGTGCTCAGGGGCATCACCCTGAAGGTGAGAGAGAGCCATTGAAGGGTCCTAAGTAAAGGAGTAACGTGATCCGACTTTCATTTAAGGAAATTATTTCAGCGGAAGTCTGGCCATGGGCTGGGCTGTCGGGACCACATTGGAGGCAGGGAATCCGGTCAGAAGGTTGTCTCAGTAGTCGAGGTGGGAGGTGATGCGGGTCTAAAGGCAAAAATGATGCAGAGGATGGGATGGATAGGAGAGATTTTTCACAAAGTGAAATGGAGGACCTTGTCACTTTGAATGTCGAGGCGAGGTGGTAAACAAGAGGAGAGGAATCAGGGTGTCAGGCTTGGGTGCCTTGATGGGTGGTGCCAGCGATGGGGTGAGACAGGGAGGGAGGAGGTGGCCTCTGAGAGCGCGTGTTCGGGGGGACCCTCACTCAGGACTGCATCTGCCACTGTCTTAATGAAAGGTGTCCGAAGTAGCCGTAAGGCATTGTAGCTCATCAGTTTGTCGGCTTAACTATGCAGCCCTCGGTAACGTTACAGACGCGGAGGGAGAATGCCGAGAACGTAAGCAAGTCCTGGCTGTTGAGGAGGCTGTGGTCTGTTTAAGCAGACTGGTACTTCATGTTGAATCCTGCTGTCAGTTTACAGATTTCTACCGTTTCATTTCCACAGTCACCCTGCGAGGTCGCCATCACTCCCTTCTGACAGGTGGATCTCCTGAGATCCCACGGCCAAGCCGGGGCAGCTCTGCGGCCGGCCAGGCCCCGTGGCTCCCGGCCTGGCGTGTTCTCCACGGCCGTCTCACGCCCTCTGTGGTACAAATGTCACGCCGCGTGGGGAACCTGCTTCCACGCACTAGTCCCACCTAATCGCATGCCTTCACGCTCCCACCGCACATCCCGCAGAGGTAACTTCACATGCCGGGCAGGGCGTGTCCAGCACCGAGTCCAGAGCAGGGAGGGGTCACTCAGGACCCGGTCTCCTTTCTAGACTAACATCTGTAACGTGCGGGCAGAGCCGTCACCTTCCCTTGCTACAGCCAAGGGCAAAAGCAAGAGAAGGAGGGACCACAAATGGACAAAATTTTGGGGCTGCGAGTCTTTCGAGATGGTCCGACCTACATGATGTGCTGAGCGTTTAGCCAGGAGTTGGGGCTTCACCCCGTCTAGTTTATCACAAATACTTCGGGGACATTTTATGACATTTTGGTGCCTATGATGAGACTCTAAGCTTAGATACCTATGAACATCGAAACCCTTTCCCATTAGTCTCAAAGCCGGTTGCCCAGGGCACAGTCCCTTCTCCATGACAAAAGAGGACAGTAGCCTAGAATTATCTGTCCATTTTGAACACTCAGAGCCCCCCACCCGAAGTAATTTGTATCCTTAATCCTCACATCCTCAGTTCTCTCTACTTTCTTCAGTTCAAGGATTTAGATAAATCCAAAGCTATTTCTCTTTATAAAAAGGCTTTGCTCTAACTTTCTAAGTCCTGGAGAAATGAATAATGCAATACACAAAGTCAATACCTTTTAATGTCATGGGCTTTGGCCTTTGTGCACAGGCAAGATAACTCCCAGGTCTGGGCAGGATGGAGCCAAAAGATAAACAAATCTTGCAATTTAGTCTTTCTTGGTTATTTTGTGCAGAGCAAGTTGATTCAGTGGAATAAATTTAACAATTGATGTCCCTTGAAATAGGAAAGCCGTGGAACCCCTCTTCCCCTGTGGCTGCAGTTGGACCGTGACACGTTCAGGAAGAGAAGCTCTACCCCTTTGGCTGTTTCTTAGCTTTCTTTTGCAGGTCTTTGGTCAGACACCATTTTACACTGTTGAAAATTCACAGTGGACCTTGTGGCCAGAAATACCTCATGACTTGGTGAGTATGATTCTTGGGTGGCAGAGGGTTTGGGATGGGAGAAGAGGGAGCTGGATTTGAAGTGTGGATTGGGAGAAGGTGGAGGAGAGGAGCTCCCGAGGGAAACCATGAAAGAAACAATAAAGCAGGTGAGTAGAACAAACAGCATCCAGCCAGGTAGGCATTTCTCCTTTTTGCGTTTTTACCACTTGGGCAGGCAATTGCTGGCGCTCTTTCATGGTTAGCAAAAGCAATTCATCTCTCTTGTCCACTATGATGACTGGGTGGTAGGTGCTTGGAGCACCGTGTTGAGGAGAATCCTGAGGCCACACCTAAGCCAGAAGGAGTCTGGGAATCGATTGGTAATGCCTGCCACAGGTGTGGGATAGGAAGCGTGGGCCACGGGCCACATGGCAATGACTGGCGTTATCAGGTGTAGCACAAGTCAAGACGCCACCTTGTGGTTCCTAATGATGGCTTGGCCGTGAGGCATGTCCCCCAGGCTTTCTTTCTCTTTATATCTTTTCCCCTTGTCCTTGTGCATTGTCTTCCTTCTCTCCTTTCCCCCTTCCTGTTCTCCTTTTCCAGCTGCCCGACCCGTGGCGTGTGAGATCAGAAGGATCACTCTAAGCAGTGCTCACGACAAGGTTTTGTTTTCCTCTGGCATCTGGAGGGTTGAGAAAAAGCCTCCACTGAGATTCTTCCCTTTGGTTTCTCTAGGAGAATCCTGAAACTTCAGAAGTTTTATTTTCTTCTCCCTTCTCTGGTGGTTCAATCCCTCAGGGATCCATCCTGTGCTCTAATGATGTTGTATGTGAGTCTGTGTGTGTTTTTGTACATGTTGTGCAGTTGATATGGGCTGAGAGCTTGTGCGAAGTAATCAGTGTGCTTACAAAGAAGCAAATGAGTCAAGTTATGACCTGACACCACAGACTGAAATCTCTTCTGCTTCTCTTTTATCAAGCAAAACTTAGATTTTTTTGTTTCTTAGATCTTTAAAAAAAAAAAAAAGGCTTCACCCAGGAATAAGAAAGACTTTTTGATGGAAAAGGCAAGCTTTTTTTCTTTCCTACCAATCCATTCACTCCTTTGGGAGCCTCAACCCCAGTCTCCACTTCCCTTTGATACTATTTTTAATCAATATAATTCTCCTCTGGGCCAAATACTGCAAGCGTGAGGTTGGTTTTTTGCCCCTTGCTAAGCTGCATTTCTTAGCAATTCAGTTCCATTTTTCGTTTCTGTTCCTGTTTTGTTTGGACTCTAGATCGCAAAGTACAAAGGATTATTGACCTGGTTGGAAAAATACCGGTTACCTTTCTTCTGTAAAACCAACTTGTGTTTCCATTACATTCTCTGTCAGAAGTTCATCAGTTTCATTAAGTCCCCAGAAGGAGGTAAGCACGCGGGGGTGTGTGTGGAGAAACATGGGAAGCCAGGTTGGCATAGCCATCCTGTGACTGTCAGTCCTACAGCAAAGCACAAATACTGGCTGCCTTTGTAGCCCTAGGTGTGCGGGACCTCAGCCTGTGCTGTGGCAGTAGATGAAATCTTAGAGTGAAAAGATTGGTACCTAGAGCAACAGGCAGGAGTCACGTGGGCTGGGCTATTTGTCTCACTGCAGCTGGAAACGAGAGGGTTAATCACGGCCACAGAACATGGTCCACCTAAAATACGTTCAGAATCAAAGCAGCTCGCCACCGTCAAGCTGTCACCTGGCTTACGCCATCTTCATTTCTCACTTGGCCGTTGAAATCATCTCTCAGTCAGTCTCCCCTCTCCTGCCCTTGTTCTCCTGCTTCTAGCAGCCAGGGTGAGCCTTTTCAAACTGCACTTAGATCATGTCACTCCGCTGCTCCCTGTCCCCTCCCCGCCACCACCCACCACTACCAATGGCTCCCGTCTCTCACATTCCCATTTCCAGCCTCTGCGCTGGCTGTTCACTCTGCCTGGAATGCTCTTCCTGCACATCTTCACACCGCCCCCTCAACCTCCGTGCAGTTCTCACCTCCCCAGTGAAGGCTGCCCTGACGGCCCGATGTCCACGCATCCAACCCCCGCCTCCACACTCCCTGTTCCTTCTTTACTTTTTCGCTGTTCCCTGTAGGGCTTAGAACCTTCAACCTTACTAGAAAATGTGGTTATTATACTCACTGCTTATGGCCTGTCTCCTTTGCTAGACTATAAGCTCCTCGAGGGCAGGAGCTTTTCTTCTGTTTGCTGATGTTTCCCAGACACCTAGAAGGGTGCTTGGCACCTAGTGGGCATGTGATACATATTTGTTGAAAGAATGAATGAATAAAATTTCCATCTAAGGTTGATTGGTGACTTGACTCCTCCCTCAAGCAGCCGCAGGAAACCAGGGGAAGTTAAGATTCAGGAGATCCCATTGAGTAAAATGTTGCAACAAATGTCCACTCTACTCATGACCCTCCTGTAATATGTGTTTTGGGGAAATCACTGTCAGGTGGGGACCATAGAAGGCAAGGGGCTTTATTTGGAGGGTGATTTTGATCTATGGATTGTATGCATGCTTGTGGGTCCCTCGCATGTCACCTGTGCATGTCACTAGAGGGTCTGGTGCCTAGCTTCAAAGGCACCACATAATCAGGGCCTGACTCATCTAACTGGCCACCATTCCCCCTCACTCACACTGAGCGAATGGGGGTCTGAGCATGTGCAAGGCTGAGAGAGGGGCTGGGGAAAGAGCTCATTCTAGTCTCTCACCGTGGACTTTTCCTGGCAGCCACGATGATGAGATGGAGGAAGGCAGACCAGTGGCTGCTCCAGAGATGCATTGGCGGGGTCAGAGGGATGTGGCGCTTCTGCACCTACCTCAAGGGCAGTGCAGGTGGGTTCTTGGAGTTGTTTCTGGGGCCTTTGCAAGTTCTTAACAGCTTCCAGGTTACCCCTGAACACAACTGACAGTTGTGTATGTTTATGGTGAATATAAAAAATGCTTTGTAATGCAGTTTGGGTTAAAGTGTTTGAAAATGGAGATCCATTATGTAAGTTCAAGAAAAGCAATCAGAGTCCCTTTTTCATTCATTCATTCATTCATTCATTTAACAGTGTTTATTGAGCACCACTCTGTGGCAGCCACTGTGCTGCTGGGTGGGGATACAAAGGTGAACAAGAGTCATGAGTCCCTGCTTCCCAAAGCTGCCATGACATGGGGAGACAGATAAGGAACAAGCAAATAAACCAGTCCCTGTAGCAAAAGTGTTGGGATGTCCTGCTTTCTGTTCTACTGGGTCCAGGAGCTGTTGAGTCGGAGGCTGGCTGTGAGCACTGGCTGACACTCCAGTTCAGCATTATTAAACTTCAAGCAGAAGCAAGCCCCAGTTTAAGGGTAAAATCCTGGATCTCCAGTGATCCGGTGGAGATGAACTAGACAGACTATCTCACGCTTTGTCTCCCTGGCCAAGTTGTAAAACAGAGAACACAGTCTTTCGCATCTTTTGGCTCCAGTGTCCTTCTGCAGGCTGCTCTCGGTCCATGACCTAGGAAACATTCCTTTTCCTCTGATCTTTTTTTTTTTTTTTGACCAAAACTCAAATGTCTCATGATTCTTCCTTAGAGTCGTGCGGTTCTCCTCAAGTGACAGTTTTTCTAATAACCAAAAGCGATCATGAAACATTCCTATCCATGAAGTCCCTTTTTACCATGCCTCCCATCTGCTCCCAAATTAGGACATTTCTGGAGATGATGCTTTAAGCCAAAGGAGTGATGAAAAGTGATGTTGGAGGCAGTAGAGCAGGCTGGTGGGGAGGTGGGGTTTCAGTTGCTACGCTCAGATTCAACCACTGAAAGGGCAAGACTGGGGTGAAGCTCGGTGCCTACCCTGTCTCCTCTACAGGTGAAGAGCTGGTAGATTTCTGGGTTCTTGTTGAGAAGATCCTGAGCATAGATGAGATGGACCTGGAAGTGAGGGACTCCTACCTGTCCCTCCTCTTCGTGCTGAAGGCCACCCACCTGCAGGAGAGCTCCAGGGTGGCGACTCTCTGCAACACGAACATAAGTAAGAATCATGAAGTGTATCTGAAGTGAAATCCCTGGGAGACGCCAGGGAGAAATCAATCTGGTGTCTGACTGTCTTCAGTCTCTTGCTTTGCAGGCTGCTACCCTCTCCATCTTCTGTGTATCAGGAATGCCAGTGAGAACCCCAACCCTTAACAGGGCAGGGTTGAGAGAGACCAGCTGTCCTTGCTGGTATGTGCCTCTTCCCGAGACATTACTTATCCCTGAAGATGGGCTGGAAACAGTGAAGAGGAGGTGGGACAGGGTAATTGAACAGCTCCTGCAGCAACTAAGCCTGCATGCCTTGATTTTTTTTGCTTTGTTTTATTTTGTTTTTGGTTGTTATTTTTTCAATTGAGGTTCTTTAGAACAAACTACAGTCCAGAGGCCAAATGCAGTGCATGTGGCCTATGGGTTAAGAATATTTTTGCATCTTTAAAGGCTTAAAGAATAAGACTGTGCAACAGAGACTATATATGGCTCACAAAGCCTAAAATATTTACTATCTGGCTCTTTACAGAGAAGAGTTTTCCACTCGCTTTTCTAGAACATTAGATTTATTCAAATTTTTTCTTTGTTACTGGAAGAGGCGTTCCTAACCCAAATAGAAATGTGTTCCAGAAGATCTGCTATTTGGGATTAGTCATGCTTGTCTCTAATCATATAGGTAATTGAGAATTAATGACATTAAAATCAAGGCTAGTCAGAACTTTTTCAGATTGTCCAGTCCAAACTCCTTCCTTCAGTCAGATCTAATGTTGAGAAATCTCATTCAGAGGTACATGTTTTTTGTTCTTAAAAATATTTTCTTGTACCTTTTGCTTTTCTTTACTATAACATTCAGTAATCTGAAAAATGACCAGAGGAATCCCATAAAATGGCTTATTTCTACGAGGAAGAAGGAAGGTAATCAGAGAAAGGGGTCACTGTGCACTGAGCAAACACTGGAAACATGCACACTGTGTAATTGACCTGTCTACACCCCAGGATTGCATGAGGAATGAATGAAGTGCTGTGCCCAAAGACATCTGGAAAAATTCAAAAACCGCACCATCACCACATCATTGTCATCCTTTATCTCTCTTTATTCTTTCCAGAGTCCCTCCTGAACCTTTCCATCTGGCATCCCAACCAGTCAACCACCAGAAGAGAGATCCTGAGCCATATGCAGAAAGTGGCTCTGTTCAAACTTCAGAGCTACTGGCTCCCCAACTTTTATACCCACGCCAAGATGGCCATGGCCAAGGAGGAGTCATGCCAGGTGCTGATGCAAGAATATGAGACTCGCCTGTACAGTATTTGCTACACCCATGTAGGAGGGCTCCCTCTGAACATGAGCATCAGGAAGTGCCACCACCCCCAGAGGTGGTACTCGAGCAGGAAGACCAAGAGGAAGATGTGGCAGTTGATAGACCCTCGATCTTGGTCTCTGGAAATGGATCTCAAGCCAGAGAGCAACCTTTGCCTCCCCCAGGAGCTGTGTCCTCAGGAGAAGGTTGTTATACAACTGCCCCCCCTGAAAGAGGCCTCTTCAAAGGAGAGAAGAAGCAGTTTTCTGGAAAAAGACATTCTCTGTACCAGGAAGTCGAACATGAAGAAGAAAGCCAAGAGCCATCTCCACATGGAGGGCCTCTTTGAGACAGCATTCTCGACCCACCTGAGGACTGTCACCCCCATCATCAGTCACTCCCACCACACGACAATGAGGAAAGCCATCAAGCAAAACCACTCCTTGGGGTACACCCACTGGGCCTTGTGTGCTGATGCCTGTGCAGGGGGTCCCTTCCGGGACCACCTGAAGAAGCAAAATTTGAAAGAGGAGATCCAACTCCTGGACCTCTGGCAGGATCTGCACCATTTCCTCAGTGTCCTGATGAGTAACAGGAAGACTGGGAAAGCCATCTTTCGGCACATGCTGGGCAACCGAATCTGTGAGCTCTACCTGAATAAGCAGATTGGTCCATGCTTACCACTGAAGTCCCAAACCATCAAAGGCCTGAAGGAGCTGCTGCCTTCTGGGGATGCAAACCCCTGGATTCCCAGAGCTCAGAAGGAGATCTGTCAGGTAGGTCATTAGTATATGGAAGGTTAGGTCAAGACTGACCAAAGATCCCATCTGGTCATCCCCACTGGCTAACTTAATCATACAACTACCCACACAACCCTTTACATACTGAACTCTTCAAGAGTTGGTTCAGCTCTTAGGAGCAAGCTGTATAAATTCTCCAGAAGCAGCCAAAACCCCAAGTTAGGATGGAGGTAGAGAAGTGGTCCCTAGCCTCCTTTCTTTCCTTCTTCAAGTCCGCCTTCTATGGAGTCTTACTGCCTGTGTTGTGTACTTTTCTGAGTTTTCTTGAAGCTCATTGAGTTTCTTCATGACAGCTGTTTTGAATTCTCTATCAGTTAGATTGCAATATTTTATGATTTTAAGTTTGGTTTCTGAAGAACTGTCATTTTCTTTTTGTGACACCGTGTTACGTGTTTTTCATAGTGCTTGATGAGTTTTTCCCTCTGCCGGTGCATTTAAAGTAGCAACATCTTTATTCTTTAGGTAAAGCTTTTAAACTTGATTCTAACAATTCATGAAGTTAATAATTAGGGTCTTTTCTTTTGGTGCTGTTGCACAAGTTTTTGGTTCCTCTACCTGAGCTCCCTCTGACTATATTCAAGAACTGGCACTTTCCATCCTCCACCAGCTCTGCCAGAGTTGTCCCTGGTGCCCCTGCTGTCACTCCTTGTGCCTTGCTGGTCACTGGTGCCTTGCTGCTGCCAATGCCATTGCTGTTGCTGGCATAACTGCATGGGCCACTGGGATGTGGCCACCTCCATCATGTCTGGGAAACCTGGATCATGGGCTTAGCTGCTGGGAGGGCGGGGAGAGGATGGGGATAGGAGCTGGACTTGTGGGTGCCTCTACCTGTCCACCCATCTTTGTATAGATGTGTGGAAACCTTTTACATCTTGGTGTGTTGGACAGAGGAACATTTGTTGAATTATGGGTGTTTTATTATTCGTAAATTGAAGGAGAAAGACAAAGGGAGTGTCTCATTATACCATGATGCTGACATCATTCTTTTAAAACAAAATAGACATGAATAGAGTACTCATTTTATACATCTTTATTTTTCATATTAAATATATATATTTAGAGCTTATCCGTTAGTCAGTAACATTATATTACATTATATATTGCTATTATTCAATCACTGAGTTTCATTCTTTCAGGAAGATACTTGACTTTGGTTCCCCGAGGAGCCTAGGAGAGCTGATAAAGTTACTAAAATTCATACTCTTAACCTCTGTTCTTGGCAAAGTTACTTGGGCAGTTTGTGGAGACAATCTTACATTCCTTAAAAAATTATTATTGGCAACTTATTGCCTGCAAAATAATGCCCAGGCTACTTACCAAAGCACTCAAGTCCCTTATGTGCAGTCCCAACCAACCTTCCCTGTCTCATCCGTTGCCACTGCCCCATCCCTGAGCTCTTTGCGGTGATGTGACAGCTCAGCCATGCTGGAGTACTCATCATTCTCTTCCATGTTCTTTCCCATCTCTGTGTCTTTGCTTGAGTTCTTTCCACCACCTGGAAGGCCCTTTACTCCATGTCCACATGGTGAGCTCCTCCTTATCCTGCAAGGTGTAAATTCTGGTTTAAATCCCCTTGTCTTTATGAACTTTTCCTGAATTTCCTGAACTCAGAACATAAATAATGGTTTCCTCCTCTCTGCTTCCAAAGAACTTCATTCTTACCTCTGTCTTAGCACGAGTCCCATTGCTGTTCATCCTGCTGTTCAACCTTTGCTAGAAGGTTAGCTCCTTGAGAACCAGCCTTGTAGCACATTGATCTGTGTATTCCCAGCCATGTGCCCAGCGCCAGGCACCCAGAAAATGTTTGTCAAATAAATAAATAAGAATGAGAGTGCAGATAAATAAATCTAGCTAAGCACTGACTTGTAGGGGATGTTTTTGGTTGTTGTTTGTTTGTTTGTTCTAATGTAATGAAATATTCTTCACAAATGGGTAAGGTCTTCAAGTGGGAGATATTAAGAGTAGACATATTAAAGGAGATATTTGGTTTCCAGGACCGTTTTAAGAATTAAATGAGATAGTACTTTGCAAAGGAGCAAAGACGTATGAGGATGTCAAATAGTTGTCCTTCAGTAAATTGTTGTATCTCTTCTTAAGTAACTGTTGATCATTATTGTCTGAGATTCAGAGAGAGGCTGCATGAGCTGCCTATTCAGAGAGGCAAAGGAATACCCACTGTGTGGTCATGACTGGTGTTTGCTGTCTAGAGAATCCAGAACTGGCAGCCTAGTCTCCTCCCACATAAATGCCAGCAGGAGAGAGCCCACAGGCATCTCATAGCACTTCCGTTGTGTTTGGGTTTCAGATGCTCAGCCCCTGGTATGCCGAATTCCTGGATGAAGAGGACTACTGGTTTCTCAGTTTTACAGTAGGAAGGATTTTGAGTTGGGGAGGAATCATGAAGTTGAGGGAATAAAAAGAGAATAATTGCTCTTGTAGACATGCTATTTGTTAAAGCAAATTAAATTTTGATTTTTCCTAGTAACACCTAGCGGTTGACATGGTCCCTCATGTTCTAAAGATAAACCTCCCCGGGAAAAACATTCAAGTGCATACACTGACTTTGAAGAAATCACATTCATATAGAATTTCTCCCTTATAGAAAATGAGTTTGATTCGAAGAGGGATGGGGGTGGGTTTGTGTGTAAAGGAGCTATAGTTCTCAACACATTGAAAATAATCTGCAAAGTCTACATGACTGGGAGGCCCAGAAGGAGCGGGCTGTAAACATCTGGCTTCTGGTCTAGTTTCTGTGGCAAATGCTGTCCGCCCCCACCCCATTCTCTTAGACGCAGACCAAGGTCGTCAGCAGCAGGTGGCATAAAAGAGAATCGATAAGCAAAGAAGAGAATCTCCTTCTTTATAGGAGGTTTGAGGAATCTCTAGAGTTAAGCCAGGGCTTGACTAACATGGAAGAAATGGAATCCATGCAGTGGCAGAGGATCGCGACTGAGGACCTGAAGCAAGGCGGATCTCTCCGCGTAGAAAGGAGGTCGCCAGTGTTTCTGGCAGGTAAGGACGGTCACCATCACTTTTCTCGTCCTTACACATCGGCAGCTGGGAAATATCAGTATTTAACATTTAGTGAGTGTTTGCTGTGTGTCAGCGCTGTGCAATGCACATGACCTCATCTGATCTTCAAAACAACTGATGAGGTAAGTCCGGAGTAACTGAGGCACAGAGAAGACAAGTTGCGTTCCCAAGGTCACACAGAAAGTGGCAGAGCCAGGATGTGAATCCAGACTGAGTGATTGAAGGGAGCCAGAGCACTCAAACTGGGCCAGACTCATGCCCACCGAGGCATCACCCCGTTACCCTGACTGCTTCGTTTCATGCACCGAAAAGCATGTTCCACCTCACCACACCTCCCCCAGAATCAAAGCCTTCTTGTGAAATATTTTTAACAGCTACCCCACCCCCAACATAATACACCGGCCCCCCGGCAGTGGAGAGGAGGCTGGGGTTACATCCTGGCTCTACTGGTGACTGTGTGAACCTGAGCGCTGAATCTAACCTCTCTTTAAGCCCCCGTTTTCTCGTCTGTAAAACTGGAATAACAACAGGCTTGTTGTGGCGATGTCCCAAGACCATCTGTGAAAGCTGTTAGCATGACATCTGGCAACAGTAAGAGCAGCGGTCATTATTCAGGCTGAACAAGCTGCCTTAGTGATCGGTGCTGAGGCAGTCAGAGGGCTGCAGTGCTTCTCAAACTTCAGTCCGCAATGCATTTGGCTTCAGGATCCAGGGAGTGTACACCTGCGTATATGTGTGTGCATGTATGTAGAAAAATTTTTCGCAAAGCCACACCTGCCCTTACTGCGTAAGATGATACACTCTCGTATGTTGTTCTATTCTATACGTATTACATATCGTACTTACGTGCTATTCTGTTTCAGTCTGTGAAAGCTGGTGATGACTCTGTTTTTTGACATACTGTGGAGTCGTGCCCTATACTTTGAAAAACACAGATAACTAGGAGCAAGCCAGAGCTTTGAGAATTCATTTCCATGACTCCTTGGCTCTGTGAGCTTGCCTGGCAAGTTACTTTCTCTCTCCGGGCCTCATTTCCTCCTCTGTAGAATGGGGATGTTGGCGCTGTTGAAAGGACTGGAGGTGATGCATTTGCACAGCAAGCAGGTCCTCGATAAGCAGTACTTGCTAGATTTACACTAAAAGATGTAACACTCAACTCTTCCGTGCACTCCGTGTACAAAGCAAGAGGCTGTGGCTGCCTGCCCCTCAGATCATGCCTGGGCGTGATGTATTTAAACCTAGTATGAACAGGCCTTCTGTTTTATCTCAGGATTTCACCTTCCTTCTCTCTAAATCCCAAACATTCCAAATCCTCTTCCCAGAAATCAAGAGAAAAGTGAAAGAAAGGATGGCTGGTAAATTTGACCCTACACACATACTGGGCAAGGGGCGTTCCCTTGGTGGCCACGGAATGCCAGGGGAGGTCAGGAAGAGTGAGAATCACCTCCGTGGGGACGCCTCCCCTCTCCCCGCAGCACACCCCAGCACTTCCTCCACCAGAGCTTTTTGGAAAGCAAGTCTAACCTGATAAAGGGCCACCTGTGCATTTGTCCAAGCCAGGGCCCTGCCTCCCGGGTAGGCTGATGCCACCACTCAGACTGCACCCTAAATTCACTGAGCGCCAGAGCTGGAATACTCTCATCTTTCACATGGAGAAACTGCATCCCAGAGAGGTGAAAAGACTTGCCCAGGGTCTCTCAGCAAGGGAGGGACTGAGCCAGAACTGGAAACCTGGACCGTTGCAGCAACAATCCACACGGCTCTCACCACTCACAGGTTCCCCTGGGTGAGAGGTGACAATGATGACAGTGACAAGGCTGACATGTGGGCAGCGGACATCCGTGGGTCCACACCCCATAGTCCTTCTAGACGCCACCAGTATAACCTCAAAAAGTACCGGACTGCCCTGGAGAGTTCCAGGAGAACTGTGTGTAGTTAGACTTACTCTACCCCAGAAATCACAACGCACATGAGCGTTTTCACCTTGGTAGGTGCGGTGCTGCTGCTCAGCTGTTGCCCAATAATCATGAAAACTTCTCTTGCTGCCTCAATCTTACTGTCCCATGTCACTTGGGATACAGAAAGGTGTTCCTTCTCAAGTCACCATGCATGACTAGAAACTGTGTATTTAGCTATCTCTAGAAAAAAAATCATTCACTCTCAGTGGACAATGATTTACTACTATTCATGATATTCATATATATGAGCTGTCAATTCTGAAAGCAATTCCCAAAGGCAGAGCGAAGAAAGAGAAAAAGGCCTAGTGAATCATGTGCCACATGCTATCCCTAAGTGCATCAAATTATTTGAAGCAATAGCAGAATGTCTGGAATGCATTTGCAGCTCCTCCCTGCAAAAGATGGGGCTTGAAGGGGTCAGTATTCATTTGGACGAATCACTTCTTATATATGTGTTGACAGTCAGTACCTCTTCCAAAGTCATATCTCAGTTACCCTAGCATACCTCAGGCAGACAGTCTCCATGGGTCAGGTGTCCCCGAGAAGGGCAGAAAGCCCCACTCTGGAGAGCAAGGGAGGCTGTATTTTCTTGCTTCTAATTTAGCCTAGGAAACTTGTATTCCCTGTGTAAACATTCCACTAGAACACTATTGTCTTACTTAAATAACATTTCAAAGGCAATACCTTCCAAAAACATGTACGACAGTCTTTGAAACCAGGATGGGTAACTAAAGGCTTCCCTGTTTTCCCCTATTTGATAGACATGGAGAAAATGTCCTTTGAGGAACTCTGCTATCAGTACCCAAAGGTGGCCGTAGAGAAGATCAGTGATGACTACAAGACATATTGCGAGAAAGCACCTCAGACAGGTAGGTTTGAGATAACAGGTAAGAGAGAATCTCCAAACTCAAGAGGCAGAAGCTGAAAGACGGATGGTCAGCGGAGAACCATCGTGTCTTTATTTTCTCCTGCAAACCCATGGAAGGGTATCGTGGAAACCAGATGCAATTATAAATGAATGTGGATGAAAATGAAACCGTTTATTTCTACCTTCTTACCTAGTTATCACTCTGGGGTTTTAGATAATACAGGTTTGTGTTTCTGCCAAGGTTCCTGGAGTCAGAGATTTGTGGAAGGTGGTTTGCTGCGGCGTGTTCCTAGGAATAACTCCCATAAGGGAGCGAGGAAAGCAGGACTGGGCAGAGGTGATGCTGAACCGTGCGGCAGTTAGGATAGATGTCAGCGTAGCCTATAGGAAGCGCTGAAGCTAGGATCGCCCTTCAGAGTGGCGCCCCATTGAGGCAGAAACTTTCGTACCTCCACATTGATTTATACGGGATGTGGATGCCCTCAAGGGGATACAACCTTGGGTTGCACAGTGCCCTTTGGCCAAGGCTGCTCCCAGAGGGACCTCAGTGGTGAGCTGTCAGCAGCCAGCACTCCAGGCAGCTAAGGGAATGAATGCTTTGCTCATAAAGGGAGGAGCCAAGCCAAGCTCCACAGCACCCAGGACTGTCCGCTTGCTTTGTGAGGAAGTCTTGCCCCATCTTTGGAACAGTTCTTCCCGG